GTGTGTGTGTGTGTGTACCGTGTGTGTGTGTGTACCGTGTGTGTGTACTGTGTGTGTGTACCGTGTGTGTGTACCGTGTGTGTGTACCGTGTGTGTGTACCGTGTGTGTGTACCGTGTGTGTGTGTGTACCATGTGTGTGTACCGTGTGTGTGTACCGTGTGTGTGTACCGTGTGTGTGTGTGTACCGTGTGTGTGTACCGTGTGTGTGTGTGTGTACCGTGTGTGTGTGTACCGTGTGTGTGTACCGTGTGTGTGTGTGTGTACCGTGTGTGTGTGTACCGTGTGTGTGTACCGTGTGTGTGTGTACCGTGTGTGTGTGTGTGTGTACCGTGTGTGTGTACCGTGTGTGTGTGTACCGTGTGTGTGTGTGTACCGTGTGTGTGTACCGTGTGTGTGTGTGTGTACCGTGTGTGTGTGTGTGCCCTGTGTGTGTGTACCGTGTGTGTGTGTACCGTGTGTGTGTGTACCGTGTGTGTGTGTGTACTGTGTGTGTGCCGTGTGTGTGTGTGTGCCGTGTGTGTGTGTGTACCGTGTGTGTGTACCGTGTGTGTGTGTGTACCGTGTGTGTGTACCGTGTGTGTGTGTACCGTGTGTGTGTGTGTGTGTACCGTGTGTGTGTGTGTGTACCGTGTGTGGTGTACCGTGTGTGTGTGTGTACCGTGTGTGTGTGTACCGTGTGTGTGTACCGTGTGTGTGTGTACCGTGTGTGTGTACCGTGTGTGTGTACCGTGTGTGTGTGTGTGTGTACCGTGTGTGTGTGTGTACCGTGTGTGTGTACCGTGTGTGTGTACCGTGTGTGTGTACCGTGTGTGTGTACCGTGTGTGTGTACCGTGTGTGTGTACCGTGTGTGTGTGTGTACCATGTGTGTGTACCGTGTGTGTGTACCGTGTGTGTGTACCGTGTGTGTGTACCGTGTGTGTGTACCGTGTGTGTGTGTGTGTACCGTGTGTGTGTGTACCGTGTGTGTGTACCGTGTGTGTGTGTGTGTACCGTGTGTGTGTGTACCGTGTGTGTGTACCGTGTGTGTGTGTACCGTGTGTGTGTGTGTACCGTGTGTGTGTACCGTGTGTGTGTACCGTGTGTGTGTACCGTGTGTGTGTACCGTGTGTGTGTACCGTGTGTGTGTACCGTGTGTGTGTGTGTACCATGTGTGTGTACCGTGTGTGTGTACCGTGTGTGTGTACCGTGTGTGTGTACCGTGTGTGTGTACCGTGTGTGTGTGTGTGTACCGTGTGTGTGTGTACCGTGTGTGTGTACCGTGTGTGTGTGTGTGTACCGTGTGTGTGTGTACCGTGTGTGTGTACCGTGTGTGTGTGTACCGTGTGTGTGTGTGTGCCGCGCTGCGTAGCGAAGCCGGTGGTGGCTGTGAAGAGGGAGCTGCTGCGTCACAGAGACTACAAAGTTGACCTCGAGTCTCGCCTCGGAAAGTCCATCGTCATCAGCAAGACCACGCCACAGAGCGAGACTGGGGGGTGAGCGCCCGCTCACCGCCCGCTCACCACTCAATCACTCACTCACCCACTCACTCACTCACCCACTCGCTCAGCCACTCACCGCTCTCTCACTCGCTCAGCCACTCAATCACTCACTCACTCACCCACTCGCTCAGCCACTCACTCACTCACTCTCCCACTCGCTCAGCCACTCACCGCACTCTCACTCGCTCAGCCACTCACCGCTCTCTCACTCACTCACTCACCGCTCACTCGCTCAGCCACTCACCGCTCTCTCACCACTCAATCACTCACCCGCCCAGCCACCCACTCGCTCAGCCACTCACCGCCCGGTCACTCAGCCACTCACTCGCTCAGCCACTCACCGCTCACTCACTCGCTCACTCACCGCTCGTTCACCACTCACCCGCCCAGCCACCCACTCGCTCAGCCACTCACCGCTCACTCACTCACTCACCCACTCAGCCACCCACTCACTCACTCAATCACTCACCCACTCACTCAGCCACTCACTCACTCAGCCACTCACCGCTCACTCGCTCACTCACTCACCGCCCGCTCACCACTCGATCACTCACTCACCCACTCGCTCAGCCACTCACCGCCCGCTCACCACTCGATCACTCACCCGCCCAGCCACCCACTCGCTCAGCCACTCACCGCTCACTCACTCAGCCACTCACTCGCTCAGCCACTCACTCACTCAATCACTCACCCACTCGCTCAGCCACTCACCGCTCACTCGCTCACTCACTCACTGCCCGCTCACCACTCAATCACTCGCTCACTCGCTCAGCCACTCAATCACTCAGCCACTCACTCGCTCAGCCACTCACCGCTCTCTCAACACTCAATCACTCACCGACTCGCTCAGCCACTCACCGCTCTCTCACCACTCAATCACTCACCCACTCAGCCACTCACTCGCTCAGCCACTCACCGCTCACTCGCTCAGCCACTCACTCGCTCAGCCACTCACTCACTCAATCACTCACCCACTCATTCAGCCACTCACCGCTCACTCGCTCACTCACCGCCCGCTCACCACTCGATCACTCACTCACCCACTCGCTCAGCCACTCACCGCTCTCTCACCACTCAATCACTCACCCACTCAGCCACTCACTCGCTCAGCCACTCACCGCTCAGTCACTCACTCAGCCACTCAATCACTCACCCACTCGCTCAGCCACTCACCGCTCTCTCACCACTCAATCACTCACCCACTCAGCCACTCACTCGCTCAGCCACTCACTCGCTCACTCACCGCTCGCTCACCACTCAATCACTCACTCGCTCAGCCACTCACCGCTCGGTCACTCGCTCAGCCACTCACCGCTCTCTCACCACTCACTCACTCGCTCAGCCACTCGCCGCTGTCTCACTCACCGCTCGCTCACTCGCTCAGCCACTCACCGCTCACTCGCTCAGCCACTCACTCGCTCAGCCACTCACCGCTCTCTCACCACTCAATCACTCACCCACTCACTCAGCCACTCACTCGCTCAGCCACTCACCGCCCGGTCACTCGCTCAGCCAATCACCGCTCGGTCACTCACTCACTCACTGCTCGCTTACCACTGAATCACTCGCTCAGCCACTCGCCGCTGTTTCACTCACTCAGCCACTCACCGCTTACTCGCTCAGCCACTCACTCGCTCAGCCACTCACCGCTCTCTCACCACTCAATCACTCACCCACTCACTCACCGCTCACTCACCCACTCACCGCTCGCTCAGCCACTCACCGCTCACTCAGCCACTCACCGCTCACTCACTCGCTCAGCCACTCACCGCTCACTCAGCCACTCACCGCTCACTCACCCACTCAATCACTCACTCACCGCTCACTCACCCACTCACCGCTCACTCGCTCACTCACTCACTGCTCACTCAGCCACTCACCGCTCACTCACTCGCTCAGCCACTCACCGCTCACCAGCCACTCACCGCTCACTCACCCACTCAATCACTCACCCACTCACTCACCGCTCACTCACCCACTCACCGCTCACTCGCTCGCTCAGCCACTCACCGCTCACTCAGCCACTCACCGCTCACTCACCCACTCAATCACTCACCCACTCAATCACTCACCCACTCAATCACTCACCCACTCACTCACCGCTCACTCACCCACTCACTCACCGCTCACTCACCCACTCACCCCGCGTGTGTGTGTGTGTGTCCCCGCGTGGTGCCAGCTACTACTGCAACGTCTGTGACTGCGTTGTCAAGGACTCCATCAACTTCCTCGACCACATCAACGGCAAAAAACGTGAGTGGCCATGTGTGGTGTGGTGTGTCCATGTGTGGTGTGTTCATGTGTGGTGTGTTCATGTGTGGTGTGGTGTGTCCATGTGTGGTGTGTCCATGTGTGGTGTGGTGTGTCCATGTGTGGTGTGGTGTGTTCATGTGTGGTGTGTCCATGTGTGGTGTGTTCATGTGTGGTGTGTTCATGTGTGGTGTGGTGTGTCCATGTGTGGTGTGTCCATGTGTGGTGTGGTGTGTCCATGTGTGGTGTGTTCATGTGTGGTGTGTTCATGTGTGGTGTGGTGTGTCCATGTGTGGTGTGTCCATGTGTGGTGTGTCCATGTGTGGTGTGTTCATGTGTGGTGTGTTCATGTGTGGTGTGGTGTGTCCATGTGTGGTGTGTCCATGTGTGGTGTGGTGTGTTCATGTGTGGTGTGTTCATGTGTGGTGTGTTCATGTGTGGTGTGGTGTGTCCATGTGTGGTGTGTCCATGTGTGGTGTGGTGTGTTCATGTGTGGTGTGTCCATGTGTGGTGTGTTCATGTGTGGTGTGGTGTGTCCATGTGTGGTGTGTCCATGTGTGGTGTGTTCATGTGTGGTGTGTTCATGTGTGGTGTGTTCATGTGTGGTGTGGTGTGTCCATGTGTGGTGTGTCCATGTGTGGTGTGGTGTGTTCATGTGTGGTGTGTTCATGTGTGGTGTGGTGTGTCCATGTGTGGTGTGGTGTGTCCATGTGTGGTGTGTCCATGTGTGGTGTGGTGTGTCCATGTGTGGTGTGGTGTGTCCATGTGTGGTGTGTCCATGTGTGGTGTGGTGTGTCCATGTGTGGTGTGGTGTGTCCATGTGTGGTGTGGTGTGTCCATGTGTGGTGTGTCTCCCCGTGTCTCACCGCGTCTCACCGTGTCTCCCCGTGTCTCACCGTGTCTCCCCGTGTCTCACCGTGTCTCACCGTGTCTCCCCGTGTCTCCCCGTGGCTCACCGTGTCTCACCGTGACTCCCCGTGTCTCACCGTGACTCCCCGTGTCTCACCGTGTCTCCCCGTGTCTCCCCGTGTCTCACCGTGTCTCACCGTGTCTCCCCGTGTCTCACCGCGTCTCCCCGTGTCTCCCCGTGTCTCCCCGCTATAGACCAGAGAAACCTGGGCATGTCCATGCGAGTGGAGCGCTCCTGTCTCTCCCCGTGTCTCCCCGTGTCTCCCCGTGTCTCCCCGTGTCTCACCGTGTCTCACCGTGACTCCCCGTGTCTCACCGTGTCTCCCCGTGTCTCCCCGTGTCTCACCGTGTCTCCCCGTGTCTCCCCGCTATAGACCAGAGAAACCTGGGCATGTCCATGCGAGTGGAGCGCTCCTGTCTCTCCCCGTGTCTCCCCGTCTCTCCCCGTGTCTCCCCGTGTCTCACCGTGTCTCCCCGTGTCTCCCCGCTATAGACCAGAGAAACCTGGGCATGTCCATGCGAGTGGAGCGCTCCTCGCTGGACCAGGTACGTTCGCGCTTTGAGCTCAACAAGCGGCGGCTGGAGGAGAAGCAGAAAGAGTTCCACTTCGAGGAGAGGCTCAAGGAGCTCAAGGAGGAGGTGGGTGGGTGGGTGGGTGGATGGGTGAGTGGATGGGTGGGTGAGTGGATGGGTGAGTGGGTGGGTGAGTGAGTGGATGGGTGAGTGGGTGGGTGAGTGGGTGGGTGGATGGGTGAGTGGGTGGGTGAGTGGGTGAGTGGGTGGGTGGGTGGGTGAGTCGGTGGGTGGGTGGGTGAGTGGATGGGTGGGTGGATGGGTGAGTGGGTGGGTGGATGGATGGGTGAGTGGATGGGTGGGTGAGTGAATGGGTGAGTGGGTGGGTGAGTGGGTGGGTGGATGGGTGAGTGGGTGGGTGAGTGGGTGGGTGGGTGGGTGAGTGGGTGGGTGGGTGGGTGAGTCGGTGGGTGGGTGGGTGGGTGAGTGGATGGGTGGGTGGATGGGTGGATGGGTGAGTGGGTGGGTGGGTGGGTGAGTGGGTGGGTGGATGGGTGAGTGGGTGGGTGGATGAGTGGGTGGAAGGGTGGGTGGTTGGATGAGTGAGTGAGTGGGTGGGTGAGCGGGTGGAAGGGTGGGTGGTTGGATGAGTGAGTGGATGAGTGAGTGGGTAGGTGAGTGGGTGGATGAGTAGGTGGATGAGTGAGTGGGTGGGTGGGTGGATGAGTGGGTGGATGGGTGAGTGGGTGGATGAGTGAGTGGGTGGATGAGTGAGTGGGTGGATGAGTGGGTGAGTGAGTGGGTGGATGAGTGAGTGGGGGATGAGTGGGTGGGTGGATGAGTGAGTGGGTGGGTGAGTGAGTGAGTGGGTGGATGAGTGAGTGAGTGGATGAGTGGGTGAGTGAGTGGGTGAGTGAGTGAGTGGGTGGATGAGTGAGTGGGTGGGTGAGTGAGTGGGTGGGTGAGTGAGTGGGTGGATGAGTGAGTGGGTGGATGAGTGAGTGGATGAGTGAGTGGTGGATGAGTGGGTGGATGAGTGAGTGGTGGATGAGTGGGTGGGTGGATGAGTGAGTGGGTGGGTGAGTGAGTGGGTGGGTGAGTGAGTGGGTGGATGAGTGAGTGGGTGGATGAGTGAGTGGATGAGTGAGTGGTGGATGAGTGGGTGAGTGTATTTTTAATCTTCTTTGTGCCTTCCCCCCCCGCGCCTCCCCCTCCTGTAACCACCACCACCGCCACCACCACCACCACCACTGCCACCACCGCCACCACCACCACCACCACCAACACCACCACCACCACCACTGCCACCACCACCACCACCGCCTCCACCACCACCACCACCGTCACCACCACCACCACCATCATCACCACCACCACTACCACCACCACTGCCACCACCACCACCACCACCACCTCCACCACCACCACCACCACCACCGTCACCACCACCACCACCACCGCCACCACCACCGCCACCACCACCGCCACCACCACCACCTCCACCACCACCGCCACCACCATCACCGCCACCACCATCACCGCCACCACCACTTCCACCACCACCACCGCCACCACCATCACCGCCACCACCACCACCACCACCACCACCACCGCCACCACCACCACCACCACCACCGCCACCACCACCACCACCGCCACCACCACCGCAGGAGGAGAGGCAGAAGGTGTTCCGGCGTGAGAAGCGCCGGAAGCGGAGCACCGAGCCGGACCCGGACCTGGACCTGGACCTGTCCACCGGTGTTGGGGGGGGGGAGGAGGAGGGGGAGGGGGGGAGGGGCCGGTGGGGGGGGGTGTGGCCAGCATGGCCGCCGTCATGGGCTTCGGCAGCTTCACCTCCACCAAGAAGTCGCACTGAGGCCAGCCTACACCTACACCTCGTCATCCTACACCTACACCTCGTCATCCTACACCTCGTCATACACCTCGTCATACACCTCGTCATCCTACACCTACACCTACACCTCGTCATCCTACACCTCGTCATCCTACACCTCGTCATCCTACACCTCGTCATCCTACACCTCGTCATCCTACACCTCGTCATCCTACACCTCGTCATCCTACACCTCGTCATCCTACACCTCGTCATCCTACACCTCGTCATCCTACACCTCGTCATCCTACACCTACACCTCGTCCACCTCGTCATCCTACACCTACACCTCGTCATACACCTCGTCATCCTACACCTCGTCATCCTACACCTCGTCATCCTCGTCATCCACCTCGTCATCCTACACCTCGTCATCCTACACCTCGTCATCCTACACCTACACCTCGTCCACCTCGTCATCCTACACCTACACCTCGTCATCCTACACCTACACCTACACCTCGTCATCCTACACCTACACCTCGTCCACCTCGTCATCCTACACCTACACCTCGTCATCCTACACCTACACCTACACCTCGTCATCCTACACCTACACCTCGTCATACACCTCGTCATCCTACACCTACACCTACACCTCGTCATCCTACACCTACACCTACACCTCGTCATCCTACACCTACACCTCGTCATACACCTCGTCATCCTACACCTACACCTACACCTCGTCATCCTACACCTACACCTACACCTCGTCATCCTACACCTACACCTCGTCATCCTACACCTCGTCATACACCTACACCACCTCCACCTCGTCATACACCTCGTCATCCTACACCTACACCTCGTCATACACCTCCTCCTACACCTACACCTCGTCATCCTACACCTACACCTCGTCATCCTACACCTCGTCATCCACCTACACCTCGTCATCCTACACCTCCTCGTCATCCTACACCTCGTCATCCTACACCTCGTCATCGCCCTCCTCCTACACCTCGTCATCCACCTCCTACACCTCGTCATCGCCCTCCTCCTCGTCATCGCCCTCCACCTCCACCTCGTCATCGCCCTCCACCTCGTCATCGCCCTCCACCTCCTCCTCCTCCACCTCGTCATCGCCCTCCTCCTCCACCTCCTCCACCTCCTCCACCTCCTCCTCCACCTCCTCCTCCACCTCCTCCACCTCCTCCTCCACCTCCTCCTCCACCTCCTCCACCTCGTCATCGCCCTCCTCCTCCACCTCCTCCACCTCGTCATCGCCCTCCTCCTCCACCTCCTCCACCTCCTCCTCCACCTCCTCCTCCACCTCGTCATCGCCCTCCACCTCCTCCACCTCCACCTCCTCCTCCACCTCCTCCTCCTCCTCCTCCTCCTCCTCCTCCACCTCCTCCACCTCCTCCACCTCCTCCTCCACCTCCTCCACCTCCTCCACCTCCTCCACCTCCTCCACCTCGTCATCGCCCTCCACCTCCTCCACCTCCACCTCCTCCTCCACCTCCTCCACCTCCTCCTCCACCTCCTCCACCTCCTCCACCTCCTCCTCCACCTCCTCCTCCTCCTCGTCATCGCCCTCCACCTCCTCCTCCACCTCCTCCTCCACCTCCTCCTCCTCCTCGTCATCGCCCTCCACCTCCTCCTCGTCGTCCTCCTCCTCCTCCTCTTCCACCTCCTCCTCGTCGCTCTCCACCTCGTCGCCCTCGTCGTCCACGTCGTCGCCCTCCTCCACCTCCTCGTCATCCTCCTCCTCGTCGTCGCCCTCCTCGTCGTCCACCACCGCCGTCGTCCACCTCATCAGCCTCGTCAACAAACTCGAGGCATCCCGTCGCCGCAGTCGCCACCACCAACAACACCGCCAACACCACCACCACCAACAACACCACCACAGCCATCACCACCTCCACGACCATCAACAACAACAACACCACCTCCACGACCAACAACAACACCACCACCACCAACACCATCAACACCACCATAGCCATCACCACCTGCACTACCAACAACAACACCACCACCAACAACACCACCACCTCCACTACCAACAACAACACCACCACCTCCACGACCAACAACAACACCACCACCAACAACACCACCACCTGCACCACCACCAACAACACCACCACCTGCACTACCAACAACAACACCACCTCCACGACCAACAACAACACCACCACCACCAACACCATCAACACCACCATAGCCATCACCACCTGCACTACCAACAACAACACCACCACCAACAACACCACCACCTCCACTACCAACAACAACACCACCACCTCCACGACCAACAACAACACCACCACCAACAACACCACCACCTGCACTACCAACAACAACACCACCTCCACTATCAACAACAACACCACCACTACCAACAACACCACCACCTGCACTACCAACAACAACACCACCACCAACAACACCACCACCTCCACTACCAACAACAACACCACCACCAACAACACCACCACCTGCACTACCAACAACAACACCACCACCAACAACACCACCACCTCCACTATCAACAACAACACCACCACGACCAACAACACCACCACCTGCACTACCAACAACAACACCACCACCAACAACACCATCAACACCACCATAGCCATCACCACCTGCACTACCAACAACAACACCACCACCAACAACACCACCACCTCCACTACCAACAACAACACCACCACCTCCACGACCAACAACAACACCACCACCAACAACACCACCACCTGCACCACCACCAACAACACCACCACCTGCACTACCAACAACAACACCACCTCCACGACCAACAACAACACCACCACCACCAACACCATCAACACCACCATAGCCATCACCACCTGCACTACCAACAACAACACCACCACCAACAACACCACCACCTCCACTACCAACAACAACACCACCACCTCCACGACCAACAACAACACCACCACCAACAACACCACCACCTGCACTACCAACAACAACACCACCTCCACTATCAACAACAACACCACCACTACCAACAACACCACCACCTGCACTACCAACAACAACACCACCACCAACAACACCACCACCTCCACTACCAACAACAACACCACCACCAACAACACCACCACCTGCACTACCAACAACAACACCACCACCAACAACACCACCACCTCCACTATCAACAACAACACCACCACGACCAACAACACCACCACCTGCACTACCAACAACAACACCACCACCAACAACACCACCACCTCCACTACCAACAACAACACCACCACCAACAACACCACCACCTGCACTACCAACAACAACACCACCACCAACAACACCACCACCTGCACTACCAACAACAACACCACCACCAACAACACCACCACCTGCACTACCAACAACAACACCACCACCAACAACACCACCACCTGCACTACCAACAACAACACCACCTCCACTATCAACAACAACACCACCACTACCAACAACAACACCACCTCCACTATCAACAACACCACCACCACTACCAACAACAACACCACCACCTCCACTACCAACAACAACACCACCACCTCCACTACCAACAACAACACCTCCACTACCAACACCACCACCACCTCCACTACCAACACCACCACTACCATCAACACTACCTCCACGACCATCAACACCGTCACCACCACGACCATCAACAACACCACCACCTCCACTACCAACACCACCACCTCCACTACCAACAACACCACCACCACTACCAACAACAACAACACCACCTCCACTACCAACACCACCATCTCCACTACCAACAACAACACCACCACCTCCACTACCAACAACAACACCACCACCTCCACTACCAACAACAACACCACCACCTCCACTACCAACACCACCACCTCCACTACCAACAACACCACCACCACTACCAACAACAACAACACCACCTCCACTACCAACACCACCATCTCCACTACCAACAACAACACCACCACCTCCACTACCAACAACAACACCACCACCTCCACTACCAACAACAACACCACCACCTCCACTACCAACAACAACACCACCACCTCCACTACCAACAACAACACCACCACCTCCACTACCAACAACACCACCGCCACCTCCACGACCATCAACAACAACAACACCACCTCCACTACCAACAACAACAACACCACCAACAACACCACCACCTGCACTACCAACAACAACAACACCACCTCCACTACCAACAACAACACCACCACCAACAACACCACCACTACCAACAACAACAACACCACCTCCACTAACAACAACACCACCACCACTACCAACAACAACAACACCACCTCCACTAACAACAACACCACCACTACCAACAACAACACCACCACCTCCACTAACAACAACACCACCACCACCAAAGCCGCCATTCGTCACCAAGTGACGGTGTCACCACGGCGCCTCTTGTGCCAGGCTAGGTGCACCTTGAGGCTGTCACGTGAAGTGTCGAAGGCTCTCTGCTGCTGGCAGGAGGAGGTCACGTGACAGACCCAGCAGGTGCCACGGGTTGACTGCTGTGCCAGGCTAGGTGCAGGAGGAGGTCACGTGACAGACCCAGCAGGTGCCACGTGTTGACTGCTGTGCCAGGCTAGGTGCATGAGGAGCTCACGGGACAGACCCAGCAGATGCCACGTGTTGACTGCTGTGCCAGGCTAGGTGCAGGAGGAGGTCACGTGACAGATCAGCAGGTGCCGTGGGTCGGCCGACTAAGATGACCGATAGATGCACCACCACCAGCTGTACCCCCTTACTGTGCCATCAACAACATCACCTACATCATCATCAACATCACCTACATCATCAACATCACCTACATCATCATCATCAACATCACCTACATCGTCAACATCACCTACATCGTCAACATCACCTACATCATCATGAACATCACCTACATCATCATCAACATCACCTACATCACCAACAACATCACCAATATCATCATCAACATCACCTACATCATCATCAACATCACCTACATCACAACATCACCTACATCATCATCAACATCACCTACATCATCATCAACATCACCTACATCAACAACATCACCTACATCACAACATCACCTACATCATCAACAACATCACCTACATCATCATCAACATCACCTGCATCATCAACATCACCTACATCATCATCAACATCACCTACATCATCATCAACATCACCTACATCATCATCAACATCACCTACATCATCAACATCACCTACATCATCATCATCAACATCACCTACATCATTAACAACATCACCTACATCATTAACAACATCACCTACATCGTTATCAACATCACCTACATCATCAACATCACCGACATCATCATCAACATCACCTACATCACCAACATCACCTACATCATCAACATCACCTACATCATCAACAACATCACCTACATCATCAACAACATCACCTACATCACAACATCACCTACATCATCAACAACA